GGGGGGGGGGGGGGGGGGGGGGGGGGGGGGGGGGGGGGGGGGTCTTCCACCTGAAAAATCAGGGGTTAGGATTTGCACCCGGTCGAAAGAAACCTTGCTATCGCAAGAGTAACTCCAGCTAGCTTCGCTAGCTTTCGTGATATGTTTGTGTATATGGTAGTGTACGCATGTATTATCATAATTTATCATACAGTATCTGTCTTTTGTATGAATCATCCTAAATCATAATATCCATTCATGCCTGTTCAACATGCTCTGGAGCTTGGGTTGTTAAAGGTTTTTGGGTCTTGAATGTGTGACACCCTCATACAAGACCTAATCACCACGATCTCCCCCCTGGACGTGAAACCATGTCATCCACGCCAACAAGCTCGAACTTCTTCGCCAAGGATCTAGCATCAGCTCGACAAATCCCACAGCCTCCCATCGAATCCCCTCCCAACTTCATCGCCGGCACACATTTCCTCGGCTGAAGGGCCAGCGTTTCCGCGAACACAGACGCCATCGAAACTCCTTGGAATGATACCGCTCTGTGGCACTGTTGGCTCAAGGCTCTCGCATCTACCCCGACAGATTTCGGCCAAAGCTCGCTTTTAACGTGGAGGCACGCAGCTGGTGGGCCTGCCGGACTAAAGACCGAGAAGCGTGAGGAACACGCTCACCGCCGGAACATCAAGCGAAAGAGTCTGCAAACCGGCGGCCGCGAGAATTGGCAATGCTGGCAAAACATGTAGTGCATCACTCGACGAACGAATTTGCCGCAGTCTGTTCTGATCTTGTTCGGATCGTGTTGCACCATGCCTGAAAGCATAATGAAGCTCCAGTCTCGGAGACCATCACCAAAATGTCCTACAAAACTCCGCGCAGCAACTGAATACCACCACTGGACCCTGGAGTCGAAAAGAACCACCTTCCAGACCACCCCGTGGTCCAAAGTCCAGAAAACTCTGGCCCTTGCCACCACTGGCCCACGTCCCAAACAACACACCCCAAACTCGAACGGTTCGAACGCCCAAACGGCATGCACAACTGGTTGTCAATTGGCATCCCCAAGGCAAAACGATGCCGACCAATGAGTGGAGGTTGATGGGGCCTGTGGGGTCTGTGGGGCGTGCGTGTGACCTCTCCGCAGGGCTCAACCACCGGCCTGACCAAATAGCGGGTTTGCGGTTGCCAATGTGCCAAAACCCCCCACGCCGCGGAAACTGCTATACCATGTTATACCAACTCAAGGTATTAGTCATTTTCTTTGTGTCCTTGTGTCCTTCCGTCCGTCCTTCCCTCCCTCCCTCCCTCTCTCCTTGCCTTCCTTCCTTCCCTTCCTTCCTTCCTTCCCTGCTTGCTGGCTGGCTTGCTTGCTCGCTCGCTCGCCCGCTTGGGTTCAGAGAGCCACTGGTGGTTGTTGCACGGCACTGCGTCGTGCCAAACACGTGGCTGATGTCGTGGGATCATGCTGCCTGCGGTAAACGTGCACTAATTATCACTAATTGGCTGCTGTGCCGATTCCCTCCACCAAATACAGCGGCCCTTGCCTTCCCGCTACAAACGCACCGTCCTGCAAAACCGCCCACGACCCCGTCTCCTGGCTTTGTGCTCTCAGGGCCCACCGCAGCGCGTCTCCCTCATCCAGCGGACATGCCACACACAACTTTCCAGACCTGGAAGTGGCGCGCGTCCGGTCAGGTCCAGGAGGCGCAATGACCCAGCAAACGTCGTTCCCGACATGCTTCAAAGCAAACACGACTGAGAAACTCACCGCTCTCCCAAAAGAAAGGAGCTGTTGGCTTGGTTTTTGACAAGCCCCACGCGCGCAAGCACACACAACACACACGCACGCACACTGTCACATTGCGTATATGGAAGCAGGCCTTTGCCCCGAGACGCCTCTGCACGGAGCTGCGTGCAGCCAAGAAAAAAGTTTGCCCTATTCAACTTGGCACCAGGTTTCCAGATCAAACATGCCACACTGCTCCCTGTGGTGAACCTGGCTGCTATACACGGTTGAACCACACAGGTTGGGTTCTTCACCACACAGGTATGACATACGTATGTGTGTATGTGTGCGTGTGCGCGTTGCCTTTAAACGGTTTAACTCCTGTTGCCTTGGTTGTTCCTCCCAGCCTCAAGGTCCGAAACCCTGACAAGGGCACCCGTTTGGCACAGCCCTTCGCTGTCACCATGATCGCAAACTCGTTGCTCAGGTCCTCACCCGTTGCAGGTCGTGGTCCCTCGGTGAGAAGGTCAAGTCATGTCATACTTCAAGTGGTCATTTGGCTTCATAAGTCTGCTGTGGGCTGTGGAAACCCCGTGTCACCCTGATGGACGAACATGAACAGATTCCTCTATCGGAGGGTGTCAGCCCACCAGGATGTGGGGCTCCAGGTTTTGATCCACAGCCATCTGACTCATGAACACTGACTCCTTCAGCGCAAAAGGCACAGCAATGACGGCTGTCACGCCATCGTCCTTGGGCAAAGCCGGAGCCAACCTCAGTCGAGAAATGGCCTCGTTCCGGAAAGCTTGCCAAAAAACCTGCCCGTCCGAGGCTCCGATTGTTTCGACCCGACTTGATCTGACCAAGGATCAGCTGCTTCGATCTGGTTTCGTCCACTTCTTCTTCTTCTTCTTCTTCTTCTTCTTCTTCTTCTCTGCAGAAATCTTGGGCTGATGGCCAGCAGCTATATCCATATCCCATGTGAATGGCACCAAGCCACTCCTCAATCGGCATGGAAACGTCCTTGTGCTGCATGAGCGGTACATCAAGAGCCTCCATGCAATCATCGGGAAAACAAACCGGACAGCCCGAAAGAAAGGGACAAATAATAGATATATATATATGTATAGCACATAAACTTCCCCACAGAAATAGCAAGTAAAGAAGCCAATGCATGTCTTAAAGTATGTATATATAATGAATTACTCTGTTTTGGTGGGTCTCTGACTATTGAAGAAACTTGGAACCAAATTGACCCAGCAGCACTGCCAAAAAGACACAGTGTGTGCCCAGCCCAGCCCCCCTCCCATGAAACCTCCTGCATGGACTCCATGGACCAGGAAACACCGGCCCACCCAGGCCGTCACGCCTGCAACTTGAAGACATGGCCTGCCTTGGTGAAGGCCAGCAAGGAGTCGAACTCCCGGCACACAAAGGCGGCCTCGGACCGTGGAAGGAGCTCGCCGCGGGGGCGGCGAGCCAGGAGCCGAAAAAGAATCGTGTCCTCTGAGAGCTCTGGATGTGGCTCGAAAAGAGTCAAACATGGTTCAAGAACCTGTCGTACCGTTTTCCTCTCTTGCCCCCTCATGAATTGTTGAGACCACTTTCTTGACGATTTGAACCACACAAAAGACGGTGCTCGTAGGCTGGTTTGGGAAAATCGGAGAACGTGATCAATCAACTTAGCCACATTGATGGCATCTGGCAACTCATCCTCATCTTCTGCCTCGCATCTGCAGCGTGGTTGGCTTCTATGCTCTAGCCGCGAGATGCCGCGAGCGAGCACATATCTCACAGTCGAATACTGATATGCACTTTCATCGGAATACGTCACCATCGATCACAGGATCAAACAAAAAATGAAACCTCTGCATCTGTCGTTGTTTGATTGTTTCTGTCAGCGGTTCTACGAGTTCGAGTACTATGTGCATTTGCACTTCTGGATGAAAAACGTTCTTTTGGCCCTGCCACAATGGGCAAAATGGTTGAATGACATTCTGTCATAAGTGAGGATTTGATCCAAAACTCTCTCTCCTCCTCTGGCCCTTCAACCCCACCACAGTGCCACCTCCACCGTTGTGCCCTTCCGGGAAAGCATTTTCCCACGCCCACCGCGGCGGCGGCCCTTCCAGCGCGCGGTCCTCTCGTGCGAGCGGCTCGTGCTGGGCGGTGCGTTGGAGAAAGCAAAATGGAACTACACTCTTGTTACTAGTAGCTTCTTGTTACTAGTAGCGATGGCCTCCAACCTAGTAGCGATGGCCTCCAACCTAGTAGCGATGGCCTCCAGCTTCACTCTGACTCACTAACATGGAAGTGGATGGCATGGTCGCTTGGAAGAAGCTTTCCTTTACGAACAGGGGATGAACTCCAGTTCCATGTGATGTGTTCGTCGGAGGGAGCTCATCCACGATGATTTGGCCACGACGAACGAGGGAACGGATCTCGCTGAACCGGAGCGAATCTCCTGATTCGTTTGATCTGGGAAAAGGAGTTGCTGAGCAGCAGGACACCTCGGTGGTGCATCGCACCCTACCACCCTACCGTAACATATAGGAGTATATATACTTGTTGGCATTTAAGGTGTTCTGTTCTGTCTGCAGACATACTTGAATTTGACATGCTTTGACTCGACTACATACACGTGCCATCTGTTCGAAACCTTCCGACTCTGCAGCCAGTCTGTGATCCTACATTTGCCCCACTTGAGGGCACGGCATAGGTTCCTTATGAGTCAAAGGGGACAGGTTCATACAGGTTCAACATCCAATCGAGGGCGCAAAGGTCCTTCTGATACAATACCTTCAAAACCCTTCAAATATCTTCAGAATATGTAGCTTGCACAAATTCCAAGGTTGTTGACACCGATCCATTTACACAGATCCCCCATTTACGGCCAAATCCAAAGAAACCAAAATCAGAACGCGTCTGAGTTGCACTGTTGGTTCACCGAGTTGTCATCTTCGAAGTGGCCTTGTCGCTTCTTCGACAAGCGCTCAGCCTGGCCCGGCTGGTTTCCGGGCGAACGCGTGGCGAACGCGGGGGCGCGAAAGCAAGGAAGGCCAACGGCACCGGTGAATCGCTGGTCCTGACGCTGTTCTATGTCCGATTCCGGCTGTCTTCCATATGTTGTAGGTCTATGTCATACATGTTCTAGGCCTTCCATATGCTCAAAATGGTTCAAAACCTCTCTTTCCTCAATGCGTCGGCTGTTTCTCTGAGCTATTTCGTGAAATCAGGAAAGAGGAATGACACACTTCCACGACCTTCCGAGGATTCTATCAGTTTTGTCCTTTGCCGACACGGCATCCACTTCCATGTTGTTTGGAGAGAGCAAAGACCCTGCCCAGCCGACCAAGTGCCACCAGTCATGGGAGCACCCTCCAAGTCTACCCATATAGCTCAGTAATATGATCTGGCATTTGCTAATGATGCAAAAATTTAAACGTGCACTTTGCAAGGCTCCAAAAGTGAATTGTCTTGAGGCAACACTCCTCAACTCCGTGGCTACATGGATCTGCTAGCAAAAATAATTAACTAGCACAGTTACAATATATATATACACATATATATATATATATGTGTGTGTGTGTGCGTGGTTTTTTGTAATACGTATATCTTATATATATATACATAAAATATATATACTTGAGGCGATGGGGGTGGACGAAAGGTAGCATGCCTGCGGCTGCTGCTGCTGCTGGTTGCTTAGTCGTTGCTGCTGCCACTGGTGCCACTGCTGCTGCTTTCTGCTTTGCTGTGCTGCAACCGCTGCTTTGCTGTTGCTGCTGCTGCTGCCGCCGCCACTGCTGCCGCTGCCGCTGCCGCCCGCCGCTGCTGCTGCTGCTGGTTGCTGCTGCTGCTGCTGCTGGTTGCTGCTCCTGCTGGTTGCTGCTGCTGCTGCTCCTGCTGGTTGCTGCTCCTGCTGGTTGCTGCTGCTGTTTGGCTGTTGCTGTTGCTGCTGCTACTTCTTGCTGGTTGCTGCTGTTGCTTGAATCCTGAAGGCTGCTGCTGCTTTGCTGCCCCCCCTCTTTCAATTTCGTCTGCGCAACCCCCAAAAAACTGAACGAAAACCAAGGGTTGTGGCCAAACTTGTGTGAACTTTGGTGCTTTGCTGCTGCTGCCACTGGTGCCACTGCTACTGCTTTCTGCTTTGCTGTGCTGCAACTGCTGCTTTGCTGTTGCTGCTGCTGCTGCCGCCGCCACTGCTGCTGCTCGTTTGCTGCTGCTGGTGCTGGCGCTACCTTTTTGCTTTGCTGCTGCTGCTTTGCTGGTTTGCTGCTGCTGCTGGCTGCTTGCTTCTGCTCAGATCACTACCAAATTCTCCGCGGCGCAGGGTGGAGTCGAATTGGGGGGGGGACGGGGGGGGCCCCCCCCCGCTGACATTTAAAACCAACTCTTAAACGACCGAAATCAAGCACCGGACCATTTCACCACCCCCAATACATTATTGATAAAGCAAAGACAACTCAGGTAGCGTAACCGCTACCTTTCGTGATATACGACACCCAAGACCGCTTCCGCAACACCCACTAGTGATACTGCCAGTTTGTTCTCCAAACTGCTGGCTCTCACGACTTGTTTGATGGGCTGCCTGCTGTTGCTCTCGCTGCTCCTCCGCCTCCCACACGTCCAGCGCCGCTTCCAGCTGCACCAGATCCTTCCTGAGTGGGGTCGACCAAGCCACCACCAACCGCATGAGGGCTGCTGGGTTGGATGAGTGAAGGAGGGAGAATGGAGCAAATGATTGGACCGGCTGTTCCAAGCTGGCCCTCTCTTCTCTTCCGGCTTGTTGCACAGGATTCCAATGAAATTCCAGGTCAATGGTCCGTCTCTGCCCTTGCTGAACAAGGTTGTTGCTCCCTAGTAGCGATGCCAGGAGCCCCTAGTAGCTTCTTGTTCCTAGTAG